TTACTTAAAAAAAAAAAAAAAAAAAAAAACTTTTTTTTTTTTTTAAAGGAAAGAAAGATTTTTTTTCCTTTTTTTCAAAAAAAAAAAAAAAAAAAAAAAAAAAAAAAAAAAAAAAAAAGGAGAAATATATATAAAATTATGCATCTATCAATAATATAAAAAATAAAAAATCTATATATATATATATATATAAATTATTTTTTATATCTTTATTTATTTATTTTATTTAAAAAAAAAAAAATTAAATAGAAAAATAATTATACTCTCAAAGTTAATATTAAATAATATTTGTTAAACAAAATTAACAAATATTAAAATTACAAAAATAAACAGAAATGTTATTCCCTAAACATTTTTCGCATAAATAATTTTTTTTTTAGATATTATTTTAATTTTCATATACTTAAATTTCTGTTTAACTATCTTAGTTTTTACATATATAATAAAATACACCTTCTATTAATATAAATATAGGTATTTCATTTTAACTTTAATTGCTAGGATTTTAATAAAATAAGTTTTACATATTATTATCTTAATTAAGCTTCAAAATCTTTAAAGATTAATTATAAAAGACTTAATCAGATAAAACTTAAATTATGTTAAGAATACTTTCTTCATTTTTAATAAAAATCCCATCAAAAATCTAATTTTCTTCAATAAATTAATTCAAAATATTCAATAATTAATAAATAATGATTTTTCTAAAAATTTAATTTAAAAGACATTTCGGTTTTGATCTACTTCATTTTATAATTTTTAGAAATTTGTTTTGGAAAGTCCTCCATTTGTAATAATATTTATTTTATTTTTGAATTTATCCTGAATTTTTTGAAAATCTTCAAATTCAAAACTAATATTAAATATTAAATTTTAATTATTTAAGAAAGAATTTATTTTTCTAAAAAAAATTAATCTCATTATATATTAATCCATATATTAGTCCATCTATTATATTTTCAAAAATAAAAACTAAGTTATTTTCATTTATATTTTTAACATAAGTATCTTTTAATATATCTTATTTAAATTTTTTAAAAGTTATCTAAGAAATTTTCTCTTCTATAAAAATGTTTTTTTTTACATTTTTTATAAAAATACTCTTTATTTCAGTTCCTTTTTATTATTTTAATTATTAAATTTTAGGCAAATAATAAATTTCATTTTTATCAACAAATAACATTTAAGAAAATTCTATTTTTTCTATTTTTTAAACAATCTTTAAATTAAAAGTTTTTTCTAATTAAAAAGAAATTATTCCTCTAAAATTTCTATACATTTTTCAATAACTTAAAAGTCGTTTCCACATGTAAATTATGCTTTTTTATCATATTCAAGTATTTAAAAATATTCATGATTATAAAGATTAATCATAATAAAAGCAATCACGATTTGCCTAATAAAAACTTAATCAAAAAAGTTTTCGTTTTAAATTTATCCTTAAATAAGCTACTCTTTTAAATAATTTAATTTTTATATGCATTTATCTTTATTTTTTTAATTTATTTATTATATATATTTTTCCATTTTTAATAAAATCATATTTTCTAAACAATTAGATATGATAATATTTAAAACTTAATTTTCTTATTTTTAATCAAGTAGGATATGATACGCAATACAATCTAAATATGAGTAAAACATAAAAAATCTTTTATTATTAATAATTTATTAAAAAATCTATGGTTATATATGTTTTTAAAGGAATTTTATTTATTATATTTATATTTTTTCTTATAATTAAATATTCTTATATTATCTTGTTTAGTTTAAATTGGTTTTCATTATTTATTAAATTTAATTATAAAATTGCTTACTTTCAAATAAAATAATATAATTTTCTTCCGTAATTAAAAATATGATATCAGTTCTATATTTTTAATCATTTTCTTCTAGTCTATTAATTGTTTGTATTTATTACTTTTTTATTTAAAAAATTTATATTTTTAAATCAAATATTGTTTCTATTTAATTAAAAATTTCTAAGATTTAATCAATTTTTTATAATATTAGATTTTATTTAATAAATACAGAAAGAAATTCTTCTATTAAATTAAATTCTTTTGATTATATATTAAAAATATAAATAATTTTATTATTAATTAATAATATTTAAAAGAAAAAATAATAACTCAGAGAATTAATAATCTATAGATTTTTCAATTTCGATTTTTTATTATATTTAAGAAGCGATATAATTTATAAATTAAGTAAATTTTAAGATTTGATTGCGTTGGGGTTCATATAATAAAAAACCATAAACAAATAGCCTAAAGTATTAAAATATAAAAATTTATATAATATTTTTTAATCCATTCTTAAAAAAATAATATTAAGGACTTAAATCAAAAATTATATCTTTTTTGTTTTATAATTTTTTAAGTATTTCTAAATTTTAATGAGTTTATATTTAATGGACGATTCGCTTTTATTTAATTTGATAATATAACTTTTCATTATTTATATTTATTTAAAATAAAAGTTTTTCAATCTATTTTTTTTATTCGAATAATATTTATTTAATTATATATTTAACAACATCAATTATTTTAATCATTTATTTAATTTAACCTTTTTAAAGATTTTAAACTAAAATATATTGATGTTTTTATTCAAGCATTTAAAAAATAAAAATATTATGTTTTTTAATTTATTTTTATAATATATTTTATTAACTTTTTTTAAGATATTAAAAATTGTATTTTAATATATATATATTAAATTGTAAATTTAAAAAATAAATTATAATTATATAAATATATTTTTTTTTTTTGATAAAACAAAATTATTTTTATCATTCTTTTATTGAAAAAATAATGTTATTATCTCTAAATTAATCTTTTTTTTTTTTTAATAAATTAATATCAATATATATAAATATATATTTAAATATATATTTATATTTATATTTATATTTATATTTATATTTATATTTATATTTTATTTAATCATATTTTTAATTTTTTATTTTTAATAATTTTTTTTAATTTTAATAGTATTTTTTGATATTATATGATTTTTTTTTTTTTATTTACAAATAATATCTTATTTTTTTGGATATTATTTGCTTTTTTAAATTATATTATATTATAATTTAGTTTATTCATAATTCATATTATTTTATAATATAAAATCTAATTTTTATTATAAATTTAAATATATATTTTTTTTTATTTAAATTCTTTAATATTAAATACATTAAATAGAAAAATTTATATAAAAATTATTTAAATATAATTATTTTTAATCAAAGTGATATCATTATAATAAAATATGTAAAATTATATTTTTTCAATAAATATATCGATTTAATTTTTTTTTTCATAAAAATATATTAAAATAAATATTATATCTTTCATTTTTATGTTTTGCCTTCCCTTTTTTTATTGTTTTTTATTTTTTCATCTAAACAAAAGTACATTTATAAATTTTAAATTTTTCAATTTTAATTATTATGATTTTTTTTTTACTTTTTTAAATATTCATATACTAGATTTAAATACAATTAAATTTCTTTCTTAGAGCAATTAATAATTTGAATCCCCTCCCTGTCTTAAATTAATTATAATATTGTTATATTTCAATAAAAAATGAAAATATGATGTACAATCAAAAGATTTATTCAGTTTTTTGTCATCAAAATAGTCAGAAAAACCACAAGGAAAAGCATATTAACAAATATAATTAAATAATTAATGTAATCTAATAGTAAAAATAAATAATAAAATTTTTAATAAGTAAAAAGTTTTATATTAACAAAAGGATTTCGATTAATTTCTTACATAAAATAATATAAAAGATTTTATTAAATTTAAGCTTAGTAAATTATTTAATTAAAATAAAGCTGATTTATAAAAAAAAAGCTACTAAAAAGACTTTTAAGTTTGTTTTAACTTGATTATAACATTATCAAAGCTTATAAACAAATAAAGATATAAAAAGTTTTTAAAATATGAATATAAATTAAAAAGGATAATAATAAATAAGATTAAAAAGTAGGACAAAAAATTGATTAATGGCAATATTTAAATAAATAAATGATAAAAATTATAATGATAATCAGATAAACTATACATATAGTTTATTAAAACTATTCAAAATATATTAGAATCGATTATAAGTGTATATTAATTTTTTTATATTTAAAACATAAATAAACCTTATAATATTTAAAATATATGATTTTTATTAATTTATATCATTCTTTATTTATTTTAAACTGTCTATGAATTAGAGAATATTTAAATTTCTATATTCACTATATGCTAATATTATAATTAAATATAATAATTTTTTTTTTTTTAGTATTTTATTACATATAAGTTATTTTATTAGTTTTTAATCTAATTAATTAAAAATATTTTAGGATATTTAAATATAATTGGAGTAATATAATATTCTATATATAGAAAATTATATAATAAATATTATAATTGATATCTTTATTTGGTTTGAAATTTTTTACAAAGAAAATATATTTTAAATCATATTAACACTTTATATATATATAATTAATAATATTTGTATAATTTAAAAAAAACAAAAATTATAATGATTATAAAAACTAATTTAAACAATTAAATTTATTACAAATTAATTATTTTCATTAATAAAAAGTTTTAACAAAAAAAATTGGTTTAAAAGATTAATTTAAATTACTTCAAATATAATTAATTTTAATTAATTTTTTTTACTAAATTAGTTTAAAAATTTTTTTTATAAAATCTTAAATTAAAAATATATATTTTTTTAAAATAATAAATTAGATTTAAAAATTATTTTTATATATATATAAATAAATTCATATATTTTAATTTTCATTCTAAATTATTATAATGATTTGTATTAATAATAGATTTCTATATTTTATTTCTGAAATATTTTTTGTTGATGACAAAAGGTGAACAAGGAGAATTCAAGCTTTTTATATAATCATTTTCAGGCGAGAAATAATCAGTAGATTAGGGACTTTTAAGATTATTTATAATATTTTAATTTCTATTGTATTTTTGTTCAGGGGTTGGAAATTAATATTAATCATTATTAAAGTTTAAATTTTAGTAATTTTAAGAGTATTATAATTTATTTTAAGAATTTTCTAATATGCATTTTTAAGAGTTTTCTAATATACATTTTTAAGAGTTTTTTAATATATATTTTTAAGAATTTTCTTATATATTTTTTTAAGAGTTTTCTTGTATATTTTTTTAAAAGTTTTCTTTTATATTCTTTTATTGGTTTTCTTGTATATTATTTTATTATGAGTTTTCTAGTGTATTTTTTTATGGGTTTTCTAATGCATTTTAATTAACTTTATCAGTATCAATATTTAATTTTTTAATATTTTTAGAAGAATTTTTTTTTTTTGGGGCTTTTTTTTATTTCTCAGCACTATTAGTTCGATCTTTTTTAGTAATTTTTTATTTAATAAATTTATCAAAAGCTACCTAATGTGCTTAAAAAACAGTTTCTTTTAACTAAGTTTATAAGTTCTAAGAAATATTAGTATTATCTTAATTATTTGGATTTTGAATAATTTTTAATAAATGTTTTTAAACAATTTCAAAGGCTTTGTTTTATAGATTTTATTCTTTTTTTTCTTTAAAATTTATCCTTTATTTTTCGAAATCTATAGATGATATAATTGAAGATTCTTAAGGATTCTATATATCATTTATTGTAGTCAATAAAATTGTACTTATAGTATTTTATATACGATCTCTTTGCGTTTTTTTTTCCTTTCGGCCTGTTGTAAGATAGGTTTTTTGAATGGCTTTTATTGTTGATTTTTTTATATTGAATTTTTCGGAAATCTATTTTTTATTGTTTTTGTTTATTTTTTTTATAATTGAAATATTTATTTATTTTTTACTTGTTTTAGATTAAGTTAATTGTTTGTTAATAAGTTTATTATTTCTTCTCGAGTTTCTTAAGATATTTAATTATAAACTTTTTTTTATTATTGGGGCTTTTGTTTAGATATTAATTTTTGTTTTTTGTGTACTTTTGACATTTTATTTATATATATATTTATGCCTCTTTTTTTTTTTTATTTATATTTTTTTTTTTTTATTATTTTTTTAAAGAATATACTTATATATTATATATATTATTCCATAAATTATAATTTAAAGTACATTTTTTTAAATTATAATATTTTTTTTTTTTTTTTTCTCAAAATATATTAAATAAGTTTACAAAAACATCAAAAATATTTTTTTTGTTTTCAACAATAAAAAACATTTTAAATTTAATAAATAAAAATGTTTTTCTATAATAAATATTTATATATATATATAAATATTATTTTAATTATTATTTTTTTAAACAAGTGTATATAAAATCTATCAAATAAAAATATAAAAGATAAGAAAAAAAAAAAAAAATTAAAGATAAATAATTTATATTTAAAATAATAAAATAAAATATATATATAAAAAAAATTATATGAACGATAATAACAACTAAATAGAAAATCTATATACAAGGCTCTAACAAAGTATAAACGACAATAACGATGAAATAATATTAAAATTATCTGAATAAATTCTTTCAAAACAACAAGATGAAAAAGTAAAAAAATGTCACTTAATTGCCTTATTAAAGACCGAAAAGCTCCAATAATTTCAACAAGAATTCTCTAATTTGCCTATTAATGATGACTAATCCTAATATTGGTAAGCTTATAGTTTATATAAGCAAGAAAAATATGAAGAATGTATTAAATTCTGTCAATAATAATAATCTTAGATATAATTTTTCCTATTATTGGCCTAATCATATAATAAATTAGGTTAATATCAAACTGCAGTAGAAATATATTAATAAACATTAAAAAAGTTCCCAAAAACATAAGACTATTAAGATATTTTAGTAAATTTAATAGCAGCTTCTGTATCTTCAAAAGTAAAAATGAAATATTTTTTTTTTTTAAAAAATAAAAAAAAGCATAAAGACCTTCAAGAAATAAGTAAAAGCATAGTCTAAGACTTTATAAAAAATAGCAAAAACTAAGAATAAACTCGAGAATTTATATACAATTATGCTTTTTTATTAGCGAATTTGCACTAAACAGAGGATTCTTTACTATTATAAAGACGATTTTAATAAATAATATAAAAAGAAAATGATAAAGAAGATGAAATAATATCCGTTTTATAATCTGATTATAATGATTTTCTAAATCATAAAGTATATTAAGGTGAAGAACTTGAAAAAAAGATAAAATAATATGAAGCTTTTTAAAAAATAAATACTTAAGATAAAAATTTAAAGGCAGTATTAAATAATAATATTGTTTTTTTTAAATCTTTGAGTAAAAGTGACCATTTTTCTGAGTCTTTGAGATTATTAGAAGACTGTATTTCTAATAAATATAAATAGACTAGTGAATAGATTTTCCTTTTTAAATTAAATAAACTTATTTTATATATATAGAAAGGAAAATATAATGAAGGACTTAATCTTTTATAAGAAATTGAAAAAAAATATCCACAGAATTTACTCTTTTAAGAATTCAGGTTTTTAGTTGTTAAATCTTGCATTTTATTAAAAAGTAAAAAAGATGAGCTTCTAGAAAATTTCCTAAATACTATTTTTAAGGAAATCCTTAATAATTAAAAAGCCAGTTTAAAATAAAGAATCCATATATTTCTTTTATTAGCCGAAATGGCTAAATAAATGAACTAATAGGACAAAATTATCACTTTATTTAATTCTTTATTTGAAAACAACCCCTCAGTGTACGAAAATGAAGTCTTAATATGTTTTATGTTCTCTTAATTGATTAAAAATAAACAGAATGAACAACATAATGAATAAGTATTGTAGAAGATCGGATAGAATACTAAAAACCCGCAAATATTGAGCTTTTTAGCTGATTTTTATGCGAAAAGTAACCCCATATTAGCTATTGAAATGTTTGAGAAATTAATCTCTAAATTTTCGAAAGAAAGAGTTTTTTAATAGAAACTGGCTAAACTGTACGCGAACAACGGAAACTTAGAGAAAGCGGAAAAACTATTAGAAAGCATAGAATTTGACTTAATAAATGACTATAATGAATTGACAAAATTAGAAAGCGAATTAGCTCTTTCTAAAATCTAAACTAAGAGTGGATCTACTACTAATATAGCGAAAAAAATTCAAAAAAAGAAAAAAAAAAGAATCAGATTTCCAAAAAATTACGACCCGAAAAATCCTCCAGTAAATTAACCAGATCCAGAAAGATGGCTTCCGAAATATGAAAGAAAAGATTTTAAAAGAAAAAAAGGATAAATGGGAGGAAAAACATAAGGTTCAGCGGCTGTAGATATGCTTGCTACCAAAGCTACTTTTAATGCTGGAAATACTACTTCTCATTAATAGGTTAGTAGTAATAAAAATAAAAAACCTAATAAAAGAAAGAAATGATGTTTTAATTCTTGTTTTTTAAGGTATTATTTAAAAAAAAATAAAAAAAAAATATATATATATATATATTGATTTTTTTTTTTTTAGAATATATTTTTTTTTTTTAATTTAAATAAAAATTTATAATTAAAGCTATTTTATATATAATAATAAAAAATAATTATAAATATATATATTTAATAAGATATTTTTTAATATTATAAAATATTTATTTATTTTAAATAAAATTATACTTTAATTTTTTATTTTTTTTTAAATAATAAAATTATAAAAATAAAAATTAATATTAATATTTTTTTTTAAAAATAAAAATAAAAATATATATATTAATTAAAAAAAAGAATAAATATCTAATTTATAAACAAAAATCAATAATAAAATTGTAAAATTCATAAAAAATCTTTAACTTTTTAATATATTTTTTTTTAAAAAAAATAACAACATCAAAAAAAAATATTAATTTATTTTATTACACATGCTCATATTTATTAAAAAAAAAAAAAATTCAAATATTAAAATCTCCATAGTTAAATAAATTCTCCTGTCCCTAATTTATTAATTAATTATTTTAATTTTTACATTAAGAATAATTAGTAGAAATATCTTAACAATTGCCTTCATCTTCAAATTCTTCACTAAAATTTTAAACTTTTTTATTTATCTTTTTCATTTCTTTTTTTTACAAATTAACCATATTATTTTAATCATCACTAATTTTAACACTTTTATATAGAGATTTTAACCCTGACCTAATCACCAAGTCATCTAAAGTTTCAGGTTTATTATCCACATGAATATAGAAAATTATAAGAAAAGCAATAATTGGCGAAACATAAAAGAGCAGATTTTTTTTCGAATCATAAAGCTCTATAGGGATTTAAGGAGGTTTTTACCCAAAAAGGATATAAATAAGGACTTCTAAAAATGAATCTAATAGGAAAGATTTCGAAAGAGATTCTAGGTACAAATTTAAAACTTAAATGCTTTTAATTTTTTAAATTTTATCTGGATTCTATTAAAGTATCTAACAGTTTAGTATTTTAAGTTTATTTTAATAAGCTTGTAAGTATTTTTATTTTTCGTGCTTTTTTTCTTAGAGGAATGTATTTATATTTATGAACAAAGGAGTGGCGTATCTTAAAAAAAATGTATGTTGTAAATGGTAGTGGATTATTTTATTCATATGTTGCTTTGTATTGTTTTTTATTAGGTGCTCATTTAAGTGTTGTTTGAAATTTGTTATTGTTTTTTGCGCATTTAAACGGGTTATTGATTATTTTTATTAATTTTCAGTTTCTAGTTCGCTTTATTACTCTACTTTAGTACTAAAAGATTAATTTAAAATCATTTTTTATTTTATTTTTATATTTTATTTTGATTTTTTTTTTTTTTTTAAGGAGTTGATGATTATTAGAAGATTAATTAAATATGTTAGAATAATTTTAATAATTTTTTATATATATATTTATAAATAAATATATAAATATATATATATAAAATATAATAAATTATTATATATTAATAAATATTAATATTATAAAATTATAAATTCAAATAAAATTATTTATAATAAAATAATTAAACTTGTATATATATATAATAATACTAGATGTATAAAATTCAATAAATATTTTATTTTATTTTTTAAAATATATATAAAATTTGAAACAATTTTTTTAAATTTATCAATCATAGATTTTAAAATTATAATTTTATATAAAAATTTTTTTTTTTGTAATTAAAATTTAATATATTAAACTAACACTTATATAATAAATCAAGAATTTATATATTTTTTATTCAATTTTATTGAGTTTTTTTCATTATTATAAAAAATTTAATATAAATTACATATAATTTATATTTAAAAATCAATTTTTTATTTTAAAACTTTAATTTATATTTTAAAATAAATAATAAATTTAAAATTACTTTATGTTAAATATATATAATTTAAATAACGGTTTTCAATAAATTTATTAATATAATTTAATTTTATGTATCTTTATTATAAAATGTTTATAAAATATATTATTTTTATGTTAATAATTTATATTATTCAATCATATTCTTTATAAAATAAAATAATATTATTTTATTAAAAAAAAATATTAAATAAAATTTAAATGACTAAAAAAATAATTAATAATACAATTTTATAGAATAATGTTTTTTTTACATTTATTAGTTCGATTTTATATTATTTATTTTATTAGTTTTATATTACTAATAATTATATTTATTTTGAAATAATAAATTATTTCTATTAAATTATAATTTATTATAGAAATTTTTCAATAGATATAGAATTTTTATTTTATATATAAAAAAAAAGAAATATTTATATTTTAAAATATATAAGTTTATTAAATATTTAAAATTTAAAAAATAAATTAATTTAAGTTATATTTTATAAAAAAATAAATTAAATATAAAATTGAAATCAAAAATATATAAATATCAATAATTATATAAATAATATCAGAAAATAAATAAATTTGAAAATATATTAATATGAGTATATATATATATACATATATAAATATAAATATATATATATATATTTTAAATAAAAAATTATTATTTTCTTTTTCATTTTTTCTATATAAAAATTAATTAAATTAAATTTAAAAGAAAACAAAAATAAAAATAACAAAATAATGTTTTAAGGAATATTTGGTTAGTAATAACAATAACAACCCGCAGGAGGTGGTTTATTTGGTTAACCTCAATAAGGAACATAATAAAATGTACCTAGTTTTGGAGGAGGATAGTCAAATGTTGGAATGTAACCAGCTTAAGGTATTTTTGTATAAAATCAACCATAAAATACTACTGGAGGAGGCATTTTCGGATAATAACCTAATTCATAAGGTGCAGGATTATCTTTATTTGGATAAGCAGCAACAAATCAAAACAATAGTATTTTTATTAGATTATTTATATATATAAATATTATTTATTAAAAACAAATTTTATTCATATTATATTTAGTTTTATTTAAATAAAATAAAAGATACTGCTAATAGTGGAGGATTATTTGGAGGAGGTGGATAAAATTAAGGTTAAGGACTTTTTGGTGGATAAGGAAGTAATACTACTGGTGGTAATGGAATGTTTGGAGGAGGTGCTTAATAATAAGGTGCTTAAGGAGGATTATTTGGTAATTTTTTTATATAAAAAACTTTTAATATATATATATATATATATATATACATATATATTTTTTTATATATATATTATATATATATATATATATTATTTTTTTTCTATTATTAATGTTATTATTTTTATTCATATTAAATAAATTGTATATATTATTTGCAAAAAACTTTTTTTTGTTTTTTTTTTTGCAAAACCTTTCTTTTATTTATTTAAAAAAATGCAAAATTTTTAATTTATTTTTTGCGCTTTTTTTTATTTTTAATATAAAATAATTATTTTTTCTACACTTATTATGATATCTGTCTTAATTTAATGTTGAAAATAAAAAAGAAAGTCAAATATAAAATTCTTTTTTTTTTTTTTTTATAAAAAAAAATTAAAAGAAAAATAATATATACAATTTAAAAGGAAAAAAAAAATATAGCAAAATAATTATAATAGACGCATTTTATTTAGAAAAAAAAAAAATATAATTAAATTAATATTTATAATAAAAAATTATATATATTCTAATAATAAAAAAAATAATATAATATTATAAAAAATGTTTATATTTTAATAATAAAAAACACCTTTAATAAATTAAATAGGAGCAACAGCAGCACAACCATAAGCAGCAGGAATTTTCGGTACATTCGGTTAATAATAATAAAACCCATAATAATAATAAACTGGTGGATTATTCGGTACAACCCCACCTTTGAACTAATAATAATCTTAATTACCTACATTTTGTCATCCAGCTGGTGTGTTTACAGCTTCTAATCCTTAATAACCTTAATAAGCTGGAGGTTTATTTGGCTAAGCAACTTAATAATCATAATAAGGCGCTTTTTTGGGAGGATTAGGTTAATAAGGGGCCTCTGCTACTTAAGGTGGTTCAATTTTTGGAGGGAATTAAGCCACAGGAGGTTTATTTGGATAACAATAGTAATAATAGCAACCAGGAGCAGGTGGATTATTTGGACAATAAGCTAATCCAGCTGGAATATTCGGGAATACTTAATAATAATAACCTTAAGGTGGCCTTTTTGGAGCCATGCCAAATTCTTAATAACAACAAAATCCTCAATGTTAGACCGGTTTTTTTGCTCCTTAACAAAATACTGCAAGTAGTGGTGGAATATTTGGAGGAGGAATAGTCAATAATAACCTAAACTAAGGCGGCTTATTAAATATGGGAGCTAATTAAGGCAATTTAAGTACATAAGATGCCTTAATGGGCAAATTTTTTGCAAAACCATCTCAGAATTAGCAAATATCGAAAACTAATTAGCTTGGAAAGCCTACAGAAACTAATAGTGTTATGAGTGTATCTAATGGCTTAGATTACTGTCTGACTGAATGTTAACTTTTGTAAAGGAAAATGGTTTAAAATGGATAACTTAAGCCAGGATAATAGTAATAATAAGGTGGTATTTTTGGAGCTGCGGCACCTAATTAGCCCACACCTTTTGGTGTTTAATAATAATAATAATAGAATACAGGAAGCTTGTTTGGTGCCTAATTTGGAGCCACTTAGTAACCTTAGGTTACAGGTGGTCTTTTTGGAGCATAGCCGTAAACAGGAGGCACAGGTTAGGGTATTTTAGGAAATTAGACTACTGGATTAGGCGGAGGAGGAGGCCTTTTCGGAGCTTTAGGCGCAGGTCAATAATAACCAGTTTAAGGCTAACAGACAGGAGGCATTTTTGGAAGTTAACCTTAATAATAGTAATAATAATAAGCTGGAGGAGGTCTTTTTGGAGGATTAGGTGTTACTGCTTAAACTACATCAAGTTAACAAGCAGGAGGAAGTCTTTTTTAAAATAATTAATAATAAACTTCTACAGGAGGTGGATTGTTTGGAGGAGGAAACAACACCGCAGCTACTGGAGGAGGACTTTTTGGAGGAAACACTTAAACTTAAGCTGCTACTACTACTGGAGGAGGTGGCCTTTTTGGAGGAAATACCAGCGTAACCACTGGAGGAGGTCTTTTTGGAGGAAATAATTAATAATAATAGGTTAATTAACCAGCAGGTTAAACTGGAGGTGGCTTATTTGGAGGAAATACTGCAACTCCTCAGAGTTTTGGAGGAAATTAATAAGGAGGAGGGCTTTTTGGAACAACAAATTAAACTGGAGGAGGATTATTTGGAGGTGGAAATTAATAAACTGGAGGAGGTTTATTTAGTAATACTTAATAATAATAATAAGGATTCAGTGGATAATAATAATAATAATAAAATTAATAATTTTAATAATAAAGTTAATAGTTTTAATCATAATAAGGATTCGTTTAATAGGTTTAAGGAGATGAATTTTTTAAGAATTTGTTTTCTTAGTTTGATAATTAGAGTATATTTAATAAATTATAAAAACAAAACGAAGAAGATGATTAAGTCTGGTATTATGCAAATACTAGAAGTAAAAAAAATATTAATTAAGAATAATAAATAGGATCATTTGACTAAACTAAAAGTAACTTACTAGAAATTGAGTATAATTCACTATATGGATACAAAAAACCAAGAGCTTAGACTAAAAAAGGATTCTAAAAAGAAGAATAAATAAAAGAAACATTTAAAAAATTCTCTTTAAAATAAGGTAAAACGGGAAGTACTTATTCCGAAAAAAGTAATGGAGCTTAAACTTTTTTTGAAAATAATAGAATTTCTTAATAATAATAATCAGGTTCTTTTAGTTTATAGGAACAAAATATACCTTTTTATAACTAAGAAACAAGAAAAACTGTATAAATAAAAGTCCTTCCAAGACATACAGTGTAGGAAGTAAAGGAAAGAATAATAAATTAATATTTAGATAATGTACAAGGAAATGAAAGTGCATCAAATTATTAATTATTCGCAAAACTATCTAACGGGGAAAAAATGCACTTAAATGATATTTAAAAATTTCTCAAATATTAAGATTTGGATGTTTCTAAAATAGAATAAGTATATTTAGTAAAGAAAAATACTCTATAAAATTAAAGAAAATAATAGTAATAATAAAGTTAAGAATAATAATCTTTTTAGAAAAAAAAAATACCTATATTGCCTAAAGGATACGGTTGTGAACCTTCCTTGGAGGAAATGTAAAAAATGAATAATGAAGAACTTAAAGAAATTCTAAATTTTAAAATATTTAATGATTTTGCAACTGTGCTTTTTACATAACCAGTCAATGTGCTTGATTTGGATTTAAGAAATATTAAATTCGAAGAATAATAAATTTGCCTTTTTATGCTTGATGATGAAACTATTTAAGATGATGAAGAAAGTTCGTAAAGAGAAAAGCTTATCTATGAAAGATTGAATAAAACTGCAGTTATTGAATTCCATAAATTCGGAAACAAGTAGATTTAAGAAGGATAAAGTAAAGAAAGCGTAAAGGAAAAAGTTAATAGATTAATAAATGTAAAAAAACTAAAACTTATAAAAGAATATGATGTTGATAACACAAAATTAATATTTTTATAAGATAGATTTGAAGATTGAAATAGTTTTTTTATTTAATTATATAATAAAAATTATCAAAAAAATTATATATAGTTATAATTATTTTATATTTTATTTTTTCCTTTAATTTTAATATTTTAAAAAATGATATATATAAAAAAAAAAATATAAATATATATAAAAAATAAAATATAAATATAAATATAAATATAAATTTACTTATATATAATGTAATATATTTTAAATAATATATATTACTCTTTTTTTATTAAAAAATTATAATAATTTATTTTTATTTTATTTTATTTTATTTTAAAATAACATAAATTTTTTTTTATAATAATATATTTATTCATTTTTTTTTTTAAGTTAAAATTTTTTTTTTTGGTATATGTCTTTTTAAATATTATATTTTTTTTTTTTTATTAATTATTTTTTAAATCAATTTATTTTTTTAATATTATATATTATATTTTTTTTTAATTAATTTGTTTTTAAATATTAATTAAAATAAAATATTTTAAATTAAATTACATTAAAATAAAATAAAATTTTTGAATAAAACTATATATATCATTTTTTTTTTATATGCATAAACATTAAAAGATAATTTTATTTTAATTATTTATTATAGTTTATTTATTAATTAAGTCAATTTTTAAAGAAAAATAAAAATAACTTATAAAAAGTAATTAAATTATTTATATTTTTTTTAAAAATTAAAATTAAAACTTACTAATATAAATTAATTTTTATTTAATTAAAAATAAATTGTTAATATTTTTTAGATATATAATTTTTTAAAATTAAATATTTTTATTTTTTGAAATTAACATATTTTAAAAATTAAAATTTTTTATTATTTAAAGTAAAAAAAAACTTTTAAATCAAATAAATAAAAAATCTAATAATCATAAGAAAGATATTAAGTAACATTAAAAAATAAAAAAAAGAGAAAAAAAATAAAAAAAAATATTAAAAAAAAATATTAAAAAAAAAAAATGTCAAACAACCCTGTAAAAATCCAAAATGTTTGTTCTTTAACGAATTTGGGTATAGATCCCTAATACTTAAAGCTAGGAATAACAAGTTTTGAATCAGACCGCTGCATATGTGTTAATGATAAATCATAAGTAACAAAATGAATATTAAAATAAAAAAAAAAAAAAAAGAACGGATAAAATTAATTAACTTAAATCCAAATAGATAATAATTTCAATGTGAACAGAAAACCTAATAAAGCAGAAACCTCATTAATGCATCCTACTTTAAACATAATAGTATTAAAAGCATCAAACGGTAATGGATGTTATGTCTAAATATGGAATTTAGATTCAAAATAAAAACTAAAACATATAGATCTGACTGAATAAATCTAATACATGACTTGGGCAAATCAAACAACTTTAGCAATAGTAACACCTACTCTAGTATATCATTCTGATATAAATGCTCATGAATCACATACAAAAATATTAGATAGGTAAAATATATTTAAATATATAAATACAAAATAAAAAAATATATATATAAATATATATATAAATATAAAAATATATAAATATATAAATATATTAATATATAGTTAATTTAAATATAACAATTTATTTATATTTATTATTTTTTATTTTTTTTTTTTTTTTTTATTTTTTATTTTTTTTTTTTTTTTCTAATTTTTTAAATAGTTTTTTTTTATATATTTTTTTTGTTTTAATTTTT